CAGCGGCAGTAGTAGAAGCAGTAAAGTCACTGAACAGGCGTGCGCAGGGTCAGCAGGGCCGGTGGGGCCTACGGACTGTAGTGGCGCACAAGCAGCAGTAGTAGGAAGTGTAGTAGTAGGATCTGCAGTGGTGCACAGGCGCAGCAGGCGGCAGCGAGAGCCGGCGCAGCAGGGGCGGGCTCAGCAGCGGTGATACGCAGGCGGCAGCGGGCGCAGCAGCGGCGGTGCGCGGGCGGCGGCGGGCTCAGCAGCGGCGGTGCGCGGGCGGCGGCGGGTTCAGCAGCGGCGGTGCGCGGGCGGCTGCGGGCTCAGCAGCGGCGGGCCGGGAGCAGTGCGGGCAGCGTGCGGGCCGGCGGCGGTCAGCGCACGAGCCGCGCAGGCTCAGCGCGGGCTGTGCGGGCTGCTCGCGGGCTGCGTAAGCGGGTCGCGGGCGGCTCGCGGGGGTTCGCGGGCAGGTCGCGGGCTGCTCGCGGGCAGTTCGCGGGCTGTGCGCGGGCTGCGCGGGCTGGTCGCGGGCTGTGCGCGGGCGGTTCGCGGGCTGTGAGCGCGGCGCGCTGTGCGGTTCGCGGGCGGCGTGACGGGGCCGATCGGGGCGCTAAGGGGCGACGCGACGGGGGCCGTGAGAGGCCGCTAGAAAAAAAAAAAAAAAAAATTTCGACGGGGCCGCAGGGCCGCTAGATCGTGCTAGATCGACGGGGCCAGCGGGGCCGGAAACAAGCGAAGGTAAGCAGGTAGGTAAGTCGGTGGGCCCTAAGAACAGTCCTAGCGAAGGACCTGCTCTGAAACCATGTCAGAAATAACTGAGCAGGAATGAATGAACTAGAACAGAGTTTGGTACAAGTAGGAAACCCTAACTTTGTGTACCCCCTAAGGTGTAACCCACTACAGCCTAGACAATATAAACATGCAATGTTTGACATAATCTAGTGGACTAGCAAGAATATGGTACTAACTGCATCTCTACAAACATACGTATTGCGCTGGTCAGTTTGGTGGGTATGCGCGCCTGTAGTGCTAATACCATGTACGATTGGAATGTCTATACATGCCAAATTACATAGTTCCGATAGGTTAAACCATTGTGGGCGTGGGGAATGGTATAATTTAAAGGAAATGGGAATACATATAATATTCGTTATATGTGTACAGAGCGAATAATGTGTCGTCCAGTAAGGTCAGTATGCACGCTTGTGTGTAGGTACAAGGCGGAGCTGGAACTCTGAAATCTCCCAAATTATGTGGATCGGAAAGGTTATAACCTAGTGTTGTTGAAGTAGAAGGCCTAATCTAGTGGACTGGCAAGAATATGGCACTAACCGCATCTCTACAAACATACGTATTGCGCTGGTCAGCTTGGTCAGTATGCGCGCCTGTAATGCAGGTACCATGTACGATTGGAATGTCTTGGCGGTACGGCGCGCTCCCTTACCTGGCCTCGTGTTTGTCACAATGTCTTGGCTTCACGCAGTGCACAGTTCAATTCTTTGTGCTGGACAAAAAGAATAATAAGAAAAACATGGGTAAAAAACACTTTTTGTTACTTGGAAAATAACAAAACACAAGTCAAGGCACAAGCACCAGAAGTTTCGCATGTGCAACTGCTCCAACCAACTTATGCTTCACCAATGAAGACTTACAGACTGAGTTTTAACAAATAAACTTGTAAGAGTTGGTGTCCATTCATAGATGTTGCTATAGCTGACGCAATATTCTTCAATCTGCCACAAAAGGAGAGACAAAACGTGTGAGAAATGAAAGATGGAGGAGTGGCTGAGAACGGGGGCTGGGAAAAGGGGGAGGAAGGAGAGAAACGAGAGTGGAAGGAGGGGCGGTTTTCATCTCACGTTAGGCAACAACGGCCGCACCAACGCATGTCCGCTCATTTCATCCAGTGTATTTTGTTGCCGGCCATCCAAAGAGAGGATCTCGCCCGGCCATGCGCCGTAGTCGCCAAGCTTAGCCCACACTACATCCTCCACTCTGAACGGTGGAGGACATCGCGACATTGGCAGGGGCGAAAGCGTGATGAGAGTGGAACGGAACGGGATCAAGCGGACTAGGAATAGCGGGATTCCACACTAGTAAGTGCAGCTAAGATTTTAGATGAAGAAATTTCAAATCAGTCCCACGAAACATCGGCACCAAGGGTTGGGCTGTGACGCGCACGTGCCGTGGAAATCCTGCCTACTTCCTTTCTGCTGAAACAATTCCCACGCGACGGGAGGAGCAGATCACTCTAGCGGTTCAATTGACGGCTACTGAAAGAATACAGAAATGGAGGGTCCTCCTTGTTTTGGACTGCGGGGTTCCGAAAGGGTTCGGACACTAGCGTTTGGTCTCTGGAGGGATGGCCGTTGGGAGCGCAAAAAACGACCTTATGAGCTAGAATCGTCGAATCGATTTCTACAAAACAGATCTAGTGATCAGACCAATCGAGTGGACGTTGTCGACAGGCGAGAGCAAACCGTCTATTCGAAACAAAGCACACCGACTCGCTTGGGATATTTCTGGCAGATGCCTAGCCAGTGGGATGTGAGCAACGCTAGACACTCGAGGGGACCCGGCTGTGATGGGGTTCGGGTTTGATGAGCTTCTCTGATCTCTCGGCCTCTTTGGGAGAACTTTGCAGGTTAGAGTCAGGGCACAAAAAGAAAAGGTTGTTGAAGAAGAGCTAGCGAAATGTTTTGACGAACTCGATTGTTGGGGTGGCAGGTATGGGCGAAGCTGGCGATGTCGTATTTGTTGTAACGACGACCAATTGGAGTGGTACTGAATCTGACTCAAACGTGGAATGTCTTGACCTGGCCAACCCCAATATCTACACCACCCATGGCTTTCCACAGCTACCAACTCTGATTTGTGAATAACATGAAAAGCTGGGACTTGAGAACACTCTTGGCGGGTACAGCCGTGGCTCCGCAATCTGTGCCTTCTTCAAGGGTCCAGCTCAGCATCACGGCATACTGGAATTGGTATGACCAAGGTTCCGGAATTGCGCCGCACGCACCATTCATTTGCTTAGGACCCATTCAGAAATTATTACCACCGAGCGTCACCATTCAGAAACGATGCGAAACCTTCAAAGAACCCTTTGCCTTGCTTTGCCAAGCCAGCTAGAAAGGTTACCAGAATCCACTTTTCTTTCTCGTGCTCTTTCGTCTATGCGTTTCAGGCTAACCATGCAATTCCAATAGAACGCTCCAACTTGGGCTACGGGGGGCTACGGGCTACGGGGGGCGGAAGGAGTCGTTGAGGAGCCATGTGGCTTTGAGATCGGGGTGAATGGCAGGGCAGTTTGGTTCAGGGAAAATGAACAATCGGTGCGTAGAGGCTAACTTGACTCGATTGGCCGCCCGTTGACGTTTTTTTTTGGACCCGTTGGACGCGCGCCAGAGGAGAATTTTGAAGGCAAGTAGGAATAGGTTAAGGACGTTGTGAAGGGCTTCAACGGTTTTGAAGGGAGTTTGGCGACATCTGTGACTGCATCGTGCGTTCCAGATGACTCTGGCAGCTGCTCCAACCAGCAGGCTCCACGGGGCAATTTGACCGGCTCCCGTTGGAAGAGGGAAGAGGGTCAATGAAGGGGAAGTGTTGATGCCCAAATGTTCGCGCGCGGTGCGTTGAAGCGCCTCGGTGATGGCCGTGCCACTCCACATTCGAAGAACAGGTGCGGAAGGGATTCCACAACTCCCTGGGTGCAGCCAGAGCAGATGCCGTTATCCGCCATGTAAGTGTAGCGGGATCCCGTAGGTAGAGCGCGAGCATAGAATCGGAACAGGATGTCCCGCTGTGAGGAAGGTTGTTCCAAGAGGAAAGCGCGAGTGTAGTCCGAAATGAGGAGCGGACCGGGCGACGGAAGGATGTTTAGCCAACGCTGCGGGTGCTGAAGTTGCTGTGGCGTGTAGGACAGGGAACGGATCGCCGCCAGCGAGGGAACGCCATCGTGTAAAATTTCGAATCTTGTCGCTAGTCCCGCTCCCGAGCAGAAGGTGCCTCCGAGCCATCGATCCACCACGAAGACGGGAACGGTGGCTGGAGCGTCGAGTAGTTGCCGACCTGTCGCAGCTTTCGAGATTCTGCCTGTGGGGTCGACCTCGTGTATGTTAGCGAAGAGGGAGTCCCCTTCGAGAAGCTGGTCGACTGCATACGCGTGTCGAGGGGGGGCCTCCATGTCGGCCGCCAGTATGACCCAGTTCCCGCTCTCGAGGAGAACCGAGCTGTGCGATGAGGAGAGCGCGGCCCACTATTCGTCAGGCATGGCGTCATAGACTTCGTTGATGATTCGTCGGCTGCAAGGGAACTTCTTCGGGGGATACTGCTTCATGATTTCTGCGTCCGTAAGCCGTCGCGCTCCGCCTTCGTTGCGCCGAACGATGTGCCCGATACGTACTTCCTTGGTGACGAGAAACATTTCGTCTTTGAGATGACCGAAGGAGCGGCCGTCTTCTTTCGGGAGGAACCTGTTGAACGGAACGGGCTCGGCAAGGATACACCAGAACTCAAGTCGAGGGGGGAGGATAGTGAGGGGGAGAGAGGAGAATGTCTTGACCTGGCCAACCCCAATATCTACACCACCCCTGGCTTTCCATAGCTACCAACTCTGATTTGTGAATAACATGAAAAGCTGGGACTTGAGAACGCTCCTGGCGGGTTCAGCCGTGGCTCCGCAATCTGTGCCTTCTTCAAGGGTCCAGCTCAGCATCACGGCATACTGGAATTGGTATGACCAGGGTTCCGGAATTGCGCCGCACGCACCATTCATTTGCTTGGGACCCATTCAGAAACTATTACCACCGAGCGTCACCATCAAGAAACGATGCGAAACCTTCAAAGAACCCTTTGCCTTGCTTTGCCAAGCCAGCCAGAAAGGTTACCAGAATCCACTTTTCTTTCTCGTGCTCTTTCGTCTATGTGTTTCAGGCTAACCCAATAGAACGCTCCAGTCGTGGTTCTACCTGCGTTTTTGCAGACTTCCTTGCTCTCATAGCTTCAGTAAAAGGATGGCTGAGACTAAGGTTACCGACTCTAAGCGAGATGAGACGGAAAATGCTAGCGAGAGAGTCACTCAAGCTCAGGCTGCGAAACCAAGAGAAGCTGAAGAACCTGCTTCTGTCGAGAAACCCGAATCATCCGTGGATGCTAATCAGGAGAGCGCGAAGAAGAAGCCTTCGTCGGATCCCTTGACATCGGGTCCGCTGATGGTCATCGCGGTGCTTCTACCGGTGGTGCTGGCAGCGGGTGTGTTGATCCAACAACGGTCCACGGCAGCCGACCTCGCCCAGATGCAAACAGCCGCTCTCAGCTGGCTCGACTTCGGCGCGTTCACGGCGAAGAAGGTACGCGTAACGGAGCTCGTCGTGACGCGACTCATTAGCGAAAAGCAAGTCGCGACGCACTTGGGATGTTACCAGCAAGCAAACTTGCGCTGACGCAAACGAATGCAACTCAACGCAGTCATTTCGTCCCCAGCAGCACTCCTCCCACCATCTCTGCACCGACGTCCCTTCCCTCTTCCCTCTTCCCTCTCCCTCCCTTGCCTGACACGGCCAGCCGGTCCCAGCGGGCGAGCAGCGGATCATCCAGCTGTCGGCGTGGAAGCCGCGCGCGTATCTGTACAAGGGCTTTCTCTCCGACGCCGAGTGCGACCACCTCATCCGCCTCGCGCAGCCGCGCCTGGAACGGTGAGCACCGCTGCCTGGATGTAACTTAAAGTAGTAGCGCCAGTTGCGATAATAAAACGTAGAGCTAAGAACATGTGCAGCTGAATCGCATGGGTTGCATGCATCGCATGTGCGTCGCCTGAATCTGCCATGTACGGGATGTGTGTGATGATACGTGTACTTCACGCGCCAACCTGTGACGCATGCTGCATATGTAGAGCGTGTGGCGTTGCGCGCCTTGGCACCTATGCAATGTGTGGGATGTATGGCATGTGTGTCACGGGTGGCACGGGGAGCAGGTCGGAGGTGACGGACAGCGAGGACGGGCACAGCGAGGTGAGCGAGGTGCGCACGAGCAGCGGCATGTTCCTGGAAAAGGGCGAGGACGCCGTCGTGCGAGCCATTGAGGACCGCATCAGCCTCTGGACCTTCCTGCCCCTCGACAACCAGGAGTCGCTGCAGGTCAGCATGCCTTGCCCCGTATCGGATTCCCCTTCCGCTTTCCCCACTCCCTCTCTCACCCCCCCACGACGCCATCTCCCTTGCCCCTGCTGCGTGACCCACCCTCCCCCATCCACACCTTTGTAAGTGTTAAGCTCTGCAATTGTAGCAGCAGCACAGCAAGTATGAAAAACCACTCTCCTGTTTGCCTCCTTCCTCCACGCCCTGCATCCCTTGTGCATCCTCTCCTGCATCCCCTCCTGCTGTTCTCCCCGGCGCCAGATCCTGCGGTACGGCGTGGGGCAGCAGTATGAGGCGCACCACGACTACATTGACGACCCACTCCCCCCCTTCCCCTTCCCCGATCTCTCTTGCTGCTGATGCTGCGTCACCCACCTTCCCCACCTCCTCCCCACCAGATCCTGCGGTACGGCGTGGGGCAGCAGTACGAGGCGCACCACGACTACTTTAACGACCCGGTGAACACGCAGCAGGGCGGGCACCGCTACGCCACCGTGCTCATGTACCTCAACAACGTCACACGGGGAGGCGAGACCACGTTCCCCGAGCACAAGGACCCCTCGCCCAAGGACGACTCCTGGACTGATTGTGCCAAGGGCGTGCTAGCAGGTGAGGAGATAGCCACTGGACAGGTGCATGGGCCTGGCGGGTGAGGGCCTGACCCCTGGGGAGGTTGCGTTGGGGGGAGGGGGAGTGGTAAAGCAGCCAGTGGCGCCTACTGGTAGGGGAGGCACAGGAATGGGAGTTGTAGTTTAAGCACTTTAGGAGACCTGGGGGAGGGAGTCTGGCAATGCTCTGAGAAGCAGCACTTCAGCATGCTCTCCTTATCAAATGCCCGCATTCTTCCCCTTGTCTTCCCCCTTCTCCTGTCCCCCTTATGTATGTGTGCATGCGAGCGCAGTGAAGCCGGTTAAGGGGGATGCGCTGCTGTTCTACAACCTGCACCCGGATGGCTCAGTGGACCCCAGCAGTCTGCACCACGCGTGCCCCGTGGTGGAGGGACAGAAGTGGACTTATGAGACGTCCCAAATTGTGTTTTCCGCTTCTCATGTTTCCCTGTGTGTGCCTCTGTGCGTTTGTGCTTGTGCAGTGAAGCCAGTGAGGGGAGATGCGCTGCTGTTCTACAACCTGCACCCGGATGGCTCAGTGGACCCCAGCAGTCTGCACCACGCGTGCCCTGTCGTGGAGGGGCACAAGCCGAGTTCTGAGACGTCCCAGACATTGTCTTCCTTTCTCACGTTTCCCTGTGTGTGCCGCTGTGTGTATGTGCGAGTGCAGTGAAGCCAGTGAAGGGAGACGCGCTGCTGTTTTACAACCTGCACCCGGACGGGTCAGTGGACCCCAGCAGCCTGCACCACGCGTGCCCTGTGGTGGAGGGGCACAAGTGGTCCGCGCCCAAGTGGATTCACATGCGCTCCTACGACTCCCCTGCTCCCGGCTTCCAGACGGGTGGCCTCTGTGTCGACGCCAATGGCCTGTGAGTCTTGAGTTTGTTGCATAAGTCATTTGTGCTGCCGCCTCTCTGTCAGGGGGGCTCTGTGAGTGTTCACTCTAGCGGCCTGTGACTGTTCACTCGCGTGCTCCACCTTCCACCTCCCAGCTCATGCCTTTCCAAATTCCTTCACCCCTTTGTTCCTTTCGGCGTTCTCCTCTTTCTTGTCCCCTCCATTATCCCCGCCCCATCTCTCCTTCGCTGTCTCTCCCGTTCCCTTCGCCCATTCATCTTTTCTCATGCTCTTGTTCCGCGTATGCCTCCTCGTTCACCCCTCCTGCATGGACCCAGGTGTGAGGCATGGGCGGCCACGGGTGAATGTGAGAAGAACCGGCCTTACATGATTGGCACAGCTGCCCACCCCGGTGCCTGCCGCAAGGCGTGTAATGCATGCGAGGATGTCACTTCCGAGTATAGTGAGGACGACTATGCCGACACAGAGTCGGAATCTGGAGTTGAGGGGAAAGGGGGTGACAAAGAGATGTTAAACAGGGCAAGCGAGGTGGAGGGTGACAGTGCAACCAGCGGCGATACAGTGCAATCATCATGAGGTGATGGAAGAGGAATATTGTGTGAACTGCTTGCCTGGTTGGTGCCGAATGGCAATCCAGTTCGTTGCCAGCTATTAAGCATGGTGGGCTTTGTGTCAAGATGCTGCTGTGTAAGCTATTAGGTCATGGAAACCATCCAGAGACTTGTATGAGTGTATGCATGCATGGAATATGTAATACCACTCACAATGCTAGCCTGTGTAAAATAGATGCAGAACTGGATGTTGGTGCAAATGGCTTGCTGGTTTGCTGGTCCCGTATCCTATGCTCAGTGTGTGGTGAGTCTAACAATTTCATTACTTGATTAAAGATGTATTCAACGGATGTGTGCCAGCAAAACGTTTTTTTTTTCATTGATTGACGTGTGAGATGTGTAGTTTTATATATCGGCCTACGATGGTTGGTGTTCAGTCACACGCTATTTGATTATTTGATTCCAAATCACAGAGAATCTCCGAGGGTCACACTGGTGGTTCGCCTGCCTTACATGGGTCAGCGGCCAATGGCATCCATTCCGCGAGCTGGGGTTGGTGGGGCTGCCGACATCCACTCAGACCGCACATACATCCACGTCCCCCCTACCGCGGCGCTCTCGGGCTTTCCACGCACCACATGGCAGGCACTCGCTTTTCCGCAGGTTTTCCGCCGAGACGAGCCTGGAGGCTGTCAAACTTCCTGACAGTATCTCTCCCGAACCAAGACATCCATGCTGCCACATCACTCTCCATAACTGTGATGGAGTTAAACCGGGCAGAGTTGAAACGGAAGGACGTGTCCTGGTTGGCTGAGCTGTTGCTTTATTTAGATTTTTTCGGCAGCCCATCTGCATTTCGTGGTGGCGTTGAAAGCTTCGCAAAACGTACCAGCAGCCACTCGTGTAGCGAACCCCCTTCGGTTCGGCCGTGCCTCATCTTGGGTGATCAACTGCCTCCTCTCTCTCCCCTCGATTCTACCCAATCGATTCCCTCTGATTCTCAGCCAACTCGGCTGTACAAGTCTTGAATCCAGCTGCCTGAGCTTTAGACTGGAAGTAAGCTGGTCGTGTTGTGACTTTTGGTAGTGGCAGCCGTTGGTTACTGTCTATCAACACGCGTCTTTCTCGGCTGCAGCGGGAACGAGGTCCATTTACTGATCAGATTGTTATCTGTTTGAAGTTTTATTCTTTACCTGCTCACACTTATACAAGTATCGACTTACCATCGCTGCGATAGGATATTAGTCCCGTTTCATCGGGACAGCGTCAGCGTTCTCCGTCGTGCCTATTGCCAATCTCGTCGGCGACGATGGGACTCGAATCAGGCGACGCGAAGATGGCAGATCTCATGCAGACTGTGCTGAGCACGGCCACGGCGGATCAAGCGAAGGTCGCCAAAGAGATCTGCGACCTCATCAAGAGCAACGGCGTCAAGCTATGCGAGGTACTGATCGCCGTTTTCCCACTTTGGTTGCGTCTGATGCAACGAGTTTCTCACTTCTTTAGTAGACTTCTTGTGTACCTAGTGCTGCGAAAGCGTACACGTGCTGCATAAAACTCAAGCCCTTCAATCTCTCGTGCACCATTCCTTTTTCCATTCTTTCGATTACTGCAGTCGCACAACCTGTTCGCGAAGATCGCACAAGGGCTCGACGACACGTCTACACCAGTTGTGAAGGAGGGAGCGCTGGTGCTTGTGCGCAAGCTCGCGGAGACAGTCGGCGCGCCTCTGGAGGCGCAACTGGTTGCGCTGCTCCCCACACTGCTGCTCCGCGTGGGCGACAAAGGGCCCGCCGGGGGTAACAAGGCAGCGCCTGCGGGGAGCAAAGCTGCGCCTGCGGGGAACAAAGTCGCGGCGAACAAGGTCCTGGGCGGGCCAGCAGTGAGCAAAGTTCTGGGCGCACCAGCCGCGAACAAGGTTTTGGGCGGCCCGGCGGCGAACAAGGTTTTGGGCGGCCCGGCGGCGAACAAGGTTTTGGGCGGCCCGGCGGCGAACAAGGTTTTGGGCGGCCCGGCCGCGAACAAGGTTTTGGGCGGTCCGGCCGCGAACAAGGTTCTGGGCGCGCCGGCCGCGGCGGGGAAGGGTCTGGCGGTCCTGAACAAAGCCGCGGGCCCCGTCTTGCTGAATAAGGCTGCTGCCCCGGTCTTGCTGAACAAAGCTGCTGCGCCCGCGGCGAACGGCGCTGCACCCGCAGGTGCACCAGATGCGGGGACGGCCGCGCCGGCGGCGGAGAGTACAGCATACGAGTCGGTGGGAGTTCCGCTGGCGGCGGAAGCCGCTGCGAAGGCGGTGGTGGGAATGATCTGCCCCCATGCCGTCCCTCTCGTGCTGCCGGGTGAGTTGGGAGGTCAGGGGCTCAAATCTGGGGGGCAGAGTGAGGGGGAGAGGAAATATAATTGGATTCAGGGGCGTTGGGTTTGGCGGTCAAGGGGATGAACGATGAATGAGAAGAGCAAAGAAGCGAGTAATTTATGCGCATTCTTGCTGACACGATTACCAAACCGTCGCCTTGCTTCCCGAACCCTGTCTTCCAATCGCACGCCTGCTTTCTCTCTTGAACGGAGGCACCGCCTCACGCTGGCGTCCTCACGCGAAATTCAAAAACTGAATCTCATGTACCCTGAACCTTGAACCTTGACGTTTAAACCCCGCAGTGCTGGTGGAGGGCGCGCGCAACCACAAGAGCTGGAAGACGCAGGAGGCGGCGCTGCTGCTGGTGGGCCACCTGGCGCTCAACGGGCCCCGCCAGGTGGCAGCCGCGCTCCACGTCATCGTGCCCCTGCTGTCCGAGTACATGATTGAAGGCAAAGCGCAGGTGAGATGCGCGACAGCGTGGACTTTAGCCATTGTAATAACACACTGGGTGTGTGTGAAACGAAACGAATCACACGCATTGGGAAAGGTTCCCAGCCCATATGCTTGCAGCAGCGGTCAAGGTACATGGCACACCAGCACCCCCTGGTTGGGGACGCCCTAAGTAACAAACTCATTAACTTCAAACTTAACCTCGACCACTCTCCGGCCTCCCCATGAGCAGGTAATGAAGGCGGCAGCATCGTCCATGCTACAGTGTGCGGGCACCATCGGCAACCGAGACATCGAGGCAGCAGTGCCATCGCTAGTGGACGCCATTCTGCACCCCACGCACGTGCCCGAGTGCGTCAACCGCCTCTCCGGCATCACCTTCGTGCAGCCCGTGCTGTCGCCCGCGCTCGCCATCATGACGCCCGTGCTCGTGCGCGGCATGAAGGAGCGCGCCGCGCTCGTCAAGCGGAAAACCGTCGTGGTGATTGAGAACGTGCTGCGATTGGTGGAGGAGCCGCGCGAGCTGGCGCCGTTCCTGCCGATGCTGATGCCGGGCGTGGAGAGGGTGAGTGTGGAAGTAGCGGACCCGGAGTGCAGGCAGACGGCGGGCAGGGTGCTGCTGACGCTGCAGGGGATGAAGGAGGAGGTGGATTCTCACCACAAAGACGCCAGCGGCAGTGGGGATGTATGTGCTGCTGCGCTGGCTATGGCAGAAGCGGCTGCTGCGGCGAAGAAGCGTGGCAGTGGTGGCGGCGCTGCTGCGAATGGTAGTCCTGGCGCTGGTTCCGGTGCTCCTGATGCAACAGAGTCGCTTCTAGAGAGGCACGCAGCGAACGCGGTGGTGCTGCTGGGGTTTCTAAGGAATCTGATTGCGTCGGGGGTGAGGGAGGAGGTGGAGAAGGGCGGCATGCTGGTGCAAACCCTAGAGTACGTCGTCCGCATGTGCACCGTCCTCGCAGCAGCCAAGCGCTTCGAGGAATCCGACTGGGTCCGCTGCGTCGTCCCGAGCCTCGAGCCGTACCTCTCCCCCTGGGGCGAGGACACCGAGGCTGTGGCTCGGCAGTTCTGCAAGCAGGCTCGGGAGGCGCACAAGGCAGCGCGCAGCGGCGACGGGTCCGGGGCAGAGGATGGGGAGGACGAGGGGGAGGATCTGTGCGACTGCGAGTTTTCCCTCGGGTACGGCGGGAAAATTCTCCTCTCCGCCACGCGCCTGTGGCTGAAGCGCGGGCGGCGGTACGGACTCTGCGGGCACAACGGATGCGGGAAATCCACTCTCATGCGTGCGATCGCCAACGGGAAACTCGACGGGTTTCCCTCAGCAGACGTGCTGAGGACAGTATACGTGGAGCATGACTTGGATAGCAGTGTGGTGGATAGGAGCCCGGTAGAGTATCTGCTAGAGGAGGAGGCGTTGAAGGGCAAGGTGGATGAGGCGGACGTGGTGCGGGAGCTGGGCAAGATGGGGTTTGGGGAGGACCGCCAGCGGCAGCCCATCACTGCGCTGTCGGGCGGGTGGAAGATGAAGCTGGCGCTCGCCAGGGCCATGCTCATCGGGGCGGATATTCTGCTGCTCGGTGAGTTGGGTCGTCTGTCATGGGAGGGAAGGGGGAAGAGGGCAAAGGGCAGCCCATCACGGTGCTGTTGGGAGGGTGGAAGATGAAGCTCGCGCTTGCTAGGGCCATGCTCATTGGGGCGGATATTCTGCTGCTCGGTGAGTTGGGTCGTCTGTCATGGGAGGGAATGGGGAAGAGGGCAAAGGGCAGCCCATCACGGCGCTGTTGGGAGGGTGGAAGATGAAGCTCGCGCTTGCTAGGGCCATGCTCATTGGGGCGGATATTCTGCTGCTCGGTGAGTTGGGGGTGAAGAGAGAAGTGGGGTGAGGGGTCAGTGAGATGAGGGTGAAGGGATGGGGTGGAACTTGGCAATGGAAATTATGCTGTCGGGTAGGTGGGAGATGAATGCTATGCCCATTGTTTACCCCATCCCCAATTTCCCCCCTTACGCTCCTTACTTCCCCCCCCTCATTTCTGCAAAACGAGCCAATAAAACCACATGGGCACGAGGGCAATGCTCATTGTTTCTCTGCCCTCGTCAGCCCATTCACCCCCTCCGCTTCCTCCTCCACTCCCCCCTCACGCACAACAGATGAGCCAACGAACCACATGGACACGACCAACGTGGAGTGGCTGCAGCGCTACCTCACGGGGCTCAAGTGAAGA